GTCTGAAAATATCAATACAACATCACATCATAAATATAAATCAATAATCATAATGCTTAAAATAATTAAAAAAAATAAAATAATTATTTATACATCATAAATCATAATGCTGCTCTTAATAATTGTTTCCAGGTATATAATGCTTATGTTCTGTCCAATCTATAGATTAAAATTCCATGGTTCGAAATAACTTCTATAACAATACTATTTATGATTTCATGTCCATCTAACTTCACTGTGCGTGACGTTTATATTATACAGCCTCTTTTTTTAATCTAAATTTTTTTAATTTTATCAAATAAATTAATAAATAAAACTAATTTAAATTATAAAATTAACGATGTCAAAAAGAAAAAGAGTTTATCGTGAACAGTTTTCAACTGACTTCCAGGGATTAAAAAAAGTAAAAAAGGTGAAAATTATGCCTTTTGCGAATATTGTTCAACTGATGTTAGTATTGCGAACGCAGGCGTTTCATCTATTAAACAACATTTTGAAAAAGAAGTTCACAAAAACAACGTGAAAATTAAAAAGTCTACTGTCGGAATATCAACATTTTTTCATAGTCATAATTTGCCCACATCTAGAAAAACTGCTGCAGCAGAAGGAGCATTTGCATATCATGCCGCTTTTCACTCGTTATCGTTTAAAGCTGCAGATTGTACAAATCGTTTAATTTCAACTGTTTTCGCTGAATCGGAAACTGGTCGGAAATTTTCATCTGCTCAAACAAAAACGCAGGCAATCATTTCAAGAATATTGGCTCCGAAATCAACTGAGAATCTTTTGTCAGAATTGGGCAGCGAGCCGTTTTCTATTGCAACCGACTCGTCAAATTTTAAAGAAATCAAAACATTCCCTATCATTATTCGGTATTTTTCGCATGAAGGATTGAAAGTTAAATTGTTAGAGTTTTCAAATTTGCCAGGAGAAACGTCAGAATTGATTTTCAAATATGTAATGACTGTACTTGACAGATTCAAATTGAGTCCTAATAATTTGGTAGCGTTCAGTGCTGACAACGCTAATGTAAACTTTGGTGGAGCAAAACAGAATGGTCAAAATAACGTTTTTGCCAAATTGAAAAACATTCAATCAAAACTGATTGCTGTAGCCTGTCCAGCTCACATTCTCCATAATGCAGCTAAAAAATCCTGTGAAAGGTTTTCACTTGACATTGAATCGTTGCTGTTCAAAATCTTAAGCTATTTCAATGGATCCACGCTGCGACATGAAAAATTTAAAGAATTTTGTGAATTTATGGAAATTCAATATGCTAAATTTCCAACTCATACTCGCACACGATAGTTAAGCCTTCTTCCATTGATTGAACGAATTTTACAGTTATGGGGTGGCTTAAAATCACTAGTTCTATCAACGGATGACATTCCAAAGGTTCTGGAAAATTTATTCTCTGATGATTCAAATGAAATCTACTTCTGGTTTCTACAGAGCTCATTGCAGCTGTTTCAGCAAACTTTGCTGATACTTGAAAAAAAAGACCTTGTGCTTCCTGAAATGATAGAATCTGTCGAAAATCTGTCACAAAAACTCACTGACAGGATGCAGAAAAATTTTGTTGGTGCCATGACTCAATCAAAGTTGCAATCATTAGAGGATTCTAATTTGGCTAATCGCATAGAAAAGGAGTTTTCAACATTTTATTCGACATCTGTTGATTACATTCAGAAGTGGTTCAGAATTACTGATTATCCGTCTTCTTCTAAGTGGTTAATGCTGAAATCTGTCGATACAATTTCGTATGAGGATATTCGAAAATCTGCAGAGTTTCTAATGCCAGAAATTTCTGTGAAAGATTCTCTGTTTGATGAAACGAGTCTTCTAATTTCACTGTTGAAAGATTCAAAAAAAAGTTTCCACGAATTGCCCATTGATAAAAAATGGGCTGTTCTGTTTCAAAATGAACTGTTTTCAGATTTGAAGAAATTGGTATACACAATTTTTGCCATTCCTACCTCGAATGCTGCTGTTGAGCGAATTTTTTCATTATGTAAAAAACAATGGACTGATGATAGAAACTGCCTAAAAATTGATACTGTTAAAGGTTTATTACAGGTAAAGTTTAATTAATCTTTAACATGCTCTGAAATGTACACTTACTTGTTAAAAAACGATGACTTAATTAAGCAAATACAATCAAAGGATAAGTATGTTGGTTGATTTCAGTAGTATACCGGAGATCAGAGACTTATACAAAAAATTGAGAAACTGTCGTATAGATTGAGTACTACAAGGAAGGAACGCTAGTATTTTTAATTTTATATATATATATATATATAAATATATATATATATATATATATATACATATATATATATATATATATATATATATATATATATATATATATATATATATATATATATACACATATAAATATATTTGAATCTGGTTTTAAATTTTGAAGTTGAATAAAAGAAGTTTCCATTGTTATTAGTATTTACTGAATTTAGATTTTTTGTAAAAATTGTCCTTTTTTTTGCGAAAAGTAAATGGGAGCCCTAGTATGTATGTATGAACAGTTTGTTAGATGGCAGGATAAAAATTTGAGGATTCTATCCAGTAACTTTGGAGTTCCTCAGGGAAGCATACTGGGAGAAATACTGTTTGCTATTTTTATAAACGATCCTCCCATGTTTTTGATTTTGTTTGTTATGCCGATTATGCTAACATTTTCATTAACAGCAGAGGTGTGAAAATTCCCGAGCTTCTAAATGAAACCAATATTGCCATTGAAGAAGTTGTCAAGTGCTTTCAAAACAACAAATTGACACTAAACAACAAAAAACTCCATTGATTGTTTTGGGCCGGTTCAATATTTGAACTCTAAAGAACCATATAAGATTGTAATTGATGGACTAGAAATGAACGAAAACAAATCAGTTAAATTTTTAGGCGTCTTCCTTGACTAGAAATTAAGTTTCCGAAACCACATAAATCACGTAAATGGCAAAAGCACTTGGCTTCATCAACAAGTTCGATTTCATCTTCCAAGATGAAGGTAGAATATGCTCTCCAAGGCCATGAGCGGACCGTACATCTCTTACTGCAACGTAGTCTGGACTGGTACCTATCGCATAGCACGATCACTAATCTCATCCGACTAACAATGAATAAAAAGAGCATTACTGTTTGTTACGTTACCAGCACAGCAATCTCACACGATGCCACTATCTGGGTCAACGAAAAATTTAAATTTTGATCAGATGAATGTCTGTCTACTTCACGATTATTTTTGCCTACAAACAGCTGACAAACAAGTCACCATCAACATTCACCACCATCAATGCTAAACCATCACCAGCAGCGACAAGGGACGACTGAATTACATTAGAACAAATTCATCAGAAACAAGCAGTCTCTTCCTAGACGCTTACTATAAAGAACCAAAAATTTGAGATTCGCTGTTAAAGGACAATTTTAAAATTGACCCAATGTCTTATATTAAATTTAGGCAGAATAAACTGAGAAATTATGTTTTAAATTTAAGAACTGATTCATTCAGTTAGAATAGTTAAGTTGCATAACTTTATAAAAACTTGTTTAGTTAGTATTTAGAGTTAATGGTTAGCTTCGTGTACATTAATTCAATTCCTGTCCATTAGCGATGAATTAACTCTGCGGTGGTCAGTCTGCTTTCTATTAATTAAGTAATTTTTAAAAGCAAATAAAATTTTCGTCTCGTTTTGTATATATGTATGTATTTATGTATATAAATATTATTCGTATGTTTATATCTTACAACGGAGTTTATTTTGAATAGTTAAACGATAATTTTAAAAGACTGGGACAAGATTGATGTACACAATCGTCATCTTCATCATCTTCTTTTTCTCCATTTTTCTCATCATCTTCATCGTCGTCATCTTCATCATCATGTCACTGGTGCTTTGGATTTGGTCTTCTTCTGGAGATCGAAATAATAGTAGAACTGATCGTCTCGTTTCATGTAATGACCTCGACCACCCGGCTTTCTGGAAGCTGTGCGTACGTTTGTATTATTATGTCGATAATAATTTAGGTTAGGAGGTATGCATGCATGCATGCATGCATATCTCCTAACCATGCATGGATGTGTATACGCATGTGTATACACATACACATACAACACCAACTAACCGGCGGTTTGGCTCCGGCCTTGATTGGAGCCCTAGGGATCCCCCAGAATGGGGCAACAACAACAACAACTAACCGTATCCGTGTATGAACCGGATCCTAGGATGGAGCATGTTCTGCTCGTAATCCTGAAATCCACTGAGTCTTTGGTTCTGTCTGTTGGCGAACCAGAAGCTGAAGATCATGATGACGAAGAAGAGACCGACACACCCAAGTGGAACCAACACGATTTTCCAGATCTCCGGCTGTCCGTTTTCTTGCTTAACTGGGATATGGAAAAATTATGTGGGATATGGAAAAATTGTGGGATTATGTTAATTTGTGGGACTATGTTAATTTGTGGAATTATGTTAATTTTTGGGATTATGTTAATTTGTGGAATTATGTTAATGTATGGAATTATGTTAATTAGTGAGATTATATTAACTTGTAAACTTATGTTAATTTGTAAGATTATGTTAATTAGATCTGCAAGGTAAAACTGAAGGATTTCGGAATTATGTTAATTTGGTACGAAAGGTAAAAGTGAGAGATGTGAAAAAACTGTAAAACCCTTGGATTATGTTAATTGTGAGATTATGTTAATTAGGTATGTAAGGTGAAACTGAAGGATTGTGGAATTATGTTAATTAGATATGGAAATATGAGAGGTCGTCATCATTACGAACGTATGCAGTGCCACTTTATGGTCGCTGCCCGCTCGTAAGCATAGCACTGCCTCCACATCCAGTGGACTTTCTCGTCACTGGAAGATTTTTTTTACTTGTTGAATTATTTGTTCTTTTCTTCCTTTCATCATTCATTTGTTCATTCATTCATTCGTTCGTTCGTTCATTCATTCATTCGTTCATTCGTTCGTTCATTCATTCATTCGTTCGTTCGTTCATTCATTCAATCATTCATTCATTCATTCATTCTATCATTTGCCCATGCAGACTCACCTTACGTTCACAACAAATGGAAAGAATGTGGAATTGTGAAAACCTTGGAGTAAAATAATTGGATGAACGAACTAATGAACGAACAAATGAAGTAGTGAATAAACGAATAAATGAACGAATGAACAAATGAACGAATGAACGAACAAATAAATGAACTAATGAATGAGTGAATGAACGAATGAATGAAGGATTGAAGGAACTTTCTTCATTCTTTTTGCACAGCGTTGGAGGAAACCAATAGAGGTTGTTCGGGTAGTAGGATGTCTTGCACCATGACGAGCTGTGTTCTGTCTCAGAGCACAACCATTTAGACTTAATGCTGTCGTATTTGGTATCTGCATGGAGCGATGGAATGTAAGTGAATGCGTGAATGAATGAACGAGTGAATGAATGAATGAACGAACGAACGAATGAATGAATGATTGATTGAATTTATGAATTAACGAGTAAACAAATGAATAAATGAATGAGTTTAGATGAAGACTGAGTGGGAGAGTTGAAAAATTTATGGCTAATTGAGTGAGAGATATTGAATGCTAATTTTTAATGGATGAACTGACGAACAAAAAGCAATTGAATGACTAAATAATTAAGTGAACGAGCAAGTGAATGAATGAATTAGAAGTGAATGAGTGAATGAGCGAGTGAATGAATGAATTAGAAGTAAATGAGCGAGTGAAGGAATGAATTAGAAGTGAATGAGTGAACGAGCAAGCGAATGAATGAATTAGAAGTGAATGAGTGAATGAGCGAGTGAAGAAATGAATTAGAAGTGAATGAGTGAACGAGCAAGCGAATGAATGAATTAGAAGTGAATGAGTGAATGAATGAACGAATGAATGAAATCTACCTCCAACTGTTTTAATTATTACTCCGCCCCGCCGCCCACTAGACTCAACTTTGAAAGTTAATACCTGAATTGTAGTGGTGGTGGTGGTAGTGGTGGTGGTGGTGGGGGGTGGTGATAACGATGACGATAATGTTGATGATGGGTACCAACCAACCAACTAACCATCCAACCAACCAATTAATCAACTAACTAGTCAACCAACCAACCAACCAGCCAACCAATCAACCAACCAACCAACCAGCCAACCAACCAATCAACCAATCAACCAACCAACCAATCAACTAACTTCTCCACTTGGAACATCGATTTCTACATAGTCTACAAGACCTTCTCCACTTCTCCCATCCTGAACATGGCCGATGGGTTTACAGTTGGAGTAGAAGTTGCAGTTCTCGATGCAGTAAACTCGTATTTTCGTTAGCACCGGTATCGGTGGTGGCGCTGGATTAATTCATTAATTCATTCATTAATTCATACTAATTAATTGGATATTTTATTCATTCGTTCGTTTATTCATTCGTTCATTCGTTCGTTCATTCATTCATTCATTTATTCATTCATCCATTCATTCATCTATCCATTCATTCAATCACTCATCCACCCATCCATTCCTTCAATCAATCGATCAATCCACCAACCAGAGGATAGGATCTTAACACATCGGTAGTGAAACAACTCTGGGAGAATCATGATGAGAAGAAGAGAGAGGCAAACGCTTCTGTCATTTATTGCACTTCTCATTCTATCTATCTATCTATCTTTCGCCCACTACCTTTGTTGCGGTTCTTAGTTAGACCACGGGACATTTTGGCATGTTTTTTTTTCCGAAAAATATTTAATATTATAATAATTTGTTATGGTAAATAATTTTATTATTCTTCTTATTA